CNGAATGGCGAGAGGAGGTGTTGTCTAATTGGTCGGACTCCGGTCGGTAATGGGTGGCCCTACTTCCCGATTGCTGGCGGACCTTCGATGGTTGGCGGTAAGCTCTCTTCCTCACTGTTTCTGGCTTTGTTTGGCTTATCCTCCGTGAGTTTCTGTTTTTCCGGCGGAGCCTCTGGCGGAGTGGGTTGTTGGTCGCCGGGGTTAGCGGCGGTTTCGGTGGTGTGTGGTCTGAGGTGGGAAGAGGCCCCGGACTCTGTCTGGGGTTGAGGAAACGAGCCATCTCTCCCCCACCCCCTCTGTCCGGCTAGTGGTGTTAGGCGGCGGCGGGGGTCCGGGGACTTGGTCCTCTTGGGCTCGGCTAGTGGTGTTAGACGGGTTTGGGTTGGGCTGGTGGGATTGGCTGAATTTTCTCTCGGTTGGAGGTGGGTCGATTCGGGGAATGGTCTGGGGCTCGGTCTCGGCTACTTGTATAGGCGGTTTGCCGCAGTTTCGGTAGTTGTTTCTCGGGCTGGGACTCCTTCTTGTATTGATCGGTCACTGCTGGTGGGGACTGCTCGTTTGCCGGGGGAGGGCTGTTAATTTTTATGTTATTTGTTGCTTTGTTTTGTGTTTTGTATCTGTGTTTTTTGTCTTTGTGCTTTAGGATGTGTCTTTGGTTTGGGCCGTTTGGCCTCTGTGAGCCCGGGTGTCAATTTTATTACTCCGTGGGGGTCCGACACTCGGGTATTACCCTGTTGGGGTCCTTGTAGTTGTTCTAGTTGTTTGTGTTGTTGGTTAGTTTAGTTGTGAGTGTGTTTTTTATTCTAGCGTTGCTAGTCGGGATTCTAGGCGGGCTTCTGACCTGTCCTCCCACTTTTTCAGCTGTTGGCTGCTGTGTATTCGCACATTTGTGCATTTTGATTTATAAAACTATCTATCGTTTCGGAAAAAAAAAAAAAACTTTTCAAATATAAATTGTAAATTAATATAATACATAATGTTAATTGTACAAATGAATAGTGTGGTTGACTCCATACAACCTCTTAGTCTTTGGAACAAATGTACTTTGAATGTTTACGTATTTAAAAAAAAAAGTAAAATAAAATATCAACAAGGCATTTAAAAAAAAAAAACGCATGGACAACATTTTCCCATATGATTATTCAAATTCACAAATTCCATATGCAGAAAATTTCTATTCTTCAAATTTCGAGGTATTCATAACAATTTATCCACAAGTGACATGCATGCATGTGTATTTTTCGTGTCTCCGACAAAGATTAATAACTATTTGACATTTTCTCCAAATGACATTTGACTCAGCAATAAGCCTCGATTTCTATGCTATATCAATTATCAACTGGCACACTTATACAATTGAACTTTCATAATTAATATTCTCTCCTTTTTTTAATAAATATCTTTTTTAAAAGTTGTACAATAATTATTTTTTTGTCAATAATAATCCTCATTAATGAGGATAGAGATGAATGTTTTGAAAAAATATGAAAAGTGAATATGAAAAGATGCAGTGTATTTGTTAGATAAATAAGGGTAATAATGAAAAAATATGTACAAAAGATCCAAAACGTCATTTATTTGGTTAATTGTTGATAAAACCAAAATAACATTTAAAAAAAAAAGAGGTAGTATTTGATATGTCACAACTTTTCAAAATAACAATACTACAAATATTTCTTGTGTGATTTGATATATTCGTTAGACAGATCCACCCATCAATTTCTTTTGACATAAATACATCTTTATAATATAAAATGTCTAGTTTGTTACATTATTTTTTTTTTTTTCAAAAAGTGTGACCTATAAGGAAAGTGTGTATATCGATTGAAAATCTATGATTGCTTAATCATTAGTTATGTCTCACATCAGACTTATTGTTGTGACATTAAAGGTTTTCTCATGTGTTAAACAAATGCCACAAATTATTATGTAAGACGCCCTAATCTTTAGGGGGTCAATATACATACTTCATTAACAAAAAAATGTATTTATATTATAAAATGTCGTACTTTTATTTACATTATTTTTTACAATATGGCATGTAAATTTAAAAACATGTATATATCTTGAAAAGATATGATTAGTTAATGTTACGCAACTCAAACTGCAACCTTTGTGGCCTGACAAATGACAATCACCTCACTGAATGAATGCTAAATTGCTAATAGGACCCAACCGGAAGTTAATGAGAAGCTTGTCTTTGCCATGGACTTTTCATGGTCCTAAGTCTTTATTTTTATTTCTATTTTTTATATTTTATTTATGTCAATTTGTGGGGTTAGCACAAAAGGACCGAGTCTTTATTNAAAATTTAATAATTGAGCGAAAATTGGCACACTAAGGGAGGCTAATAGCATGATTTCTTATTGGTGAGTCCTCTGTTTTGATTATTTAGGTCATGAACATGATTGAGTTCTGCTGGCATAATCTCCAAAATACTTGGAAAAATATGGAAAAGACACTTTTTTTTAATTGGAAATATTCATTTTAATATAATTCAATTTATTTGTTTATTTTTGCAGTAGGAGCTTTATATTTTGTATGCTTGAATCTAAATAATTGGATTAATTCAAGGAATCGCAACCTTGAAAAATTAGCTTTGAGCTATGTTATTCTTATGCTTTCTTTACTTAATGAAAATTGTCAAGTTGGTCTTTTGCAGGGGCTTCAAATTTACACTATCTGATTGCAAATAAGGAATATTTTCCTTTCTTTCCAACCTGGGAATTTCAAAGCATATCAACAGAAATAATGAATCTGGGTGAGGAAAAATATGTAAGGTTAGTTCAAGTCAAATCTTCAAGTCTTCTTTCTACTACCCACACATACATACATTTGCGAACTAATAAACCGACTAACTATGTTAACCGGTATGCAAATAAACCGTTTTGACGTAAAAAATCTCAACCAGGTTCGAAGAATGCGATTCCGAAAAATCCTTCAGCCTCAACTCCACCCCACGCCGTGGCCTAATCCCAATACGAAAACCAAGAATAAGCTCGATTATGGATGTAATTAGAAGTGGGGTTAGTAGAAGCTCTAAAAGACTAAAAAGCTTGAGAAATTGGTCCTTGCATGGCTACTATTCACCGAGCAATAAGCCGGCCAAGCCCACAAAACGGACCAAAATTCTCGATCCTCAAGAGCCCTTTCTTCAGAGATGGAACAAAATATTTGTGCTTGCTTGCATAGTTGCCATCTCACTCGACCCTCTCTTCTTCTATATTCCGGTGGTGGATGGCGAGAGGCGGTGCCTGTCCTTGGACAAAAGGCTTCAGATCATAGCTTGTGTTCTTAGGACATTTATCGACTTCTTTTACGTGTTTCACATTTATCTGCAATTCCGAACCGGTTTTATTGCACGCTATACTATGGTGTTCGGGAGGGGCGAGTTGATCGTCGATCCTAAAGCTATCGCAAAAAGATACTTGTCGTTTTATTTCATCATCGATGTTTTGTCGATTATTCCTCTCCCACAGGTTCGAGTCTATTCCCCCTTGTCTTTATGTGTGTTTTTATACAAATATATCCGCTCAAAATGAGTTTTTCTGGTTAACTAGAGTTGATTTTGAAAAAAGTAGTATGATTAGTTGGTGGTGGATTTTTTAGTATATATTAAAATAATATTTAAAATTAAAATAATTGCAGTTGGTTTGACGTAAAAGTAGGAGAGAGATTGTGTAAAGTGATGGTTTGTTAGAATTATGTGGTGGATGAATAGTAAATTAAAATTGATGTGATGTGTAAGAATGATTATTGGTTGGTATTATTTGATTATATTGATAATACTGAGGATAGTTGAGTTGGTTAAAGTTGACTTAGATTTTGAGTATGAATTGAGTATTTTCAAATACAAACACAAGTATACACTACAACTACTTTAACTTTTTTTGTTAAACTAAAAAAGTTTTTTTTTTTTCCTTATTTGTTGACAATTTTTAGCTTCTAATTGAAATAAAATAAGTGTTCTTTACAAGCAGATGTTTTTGCAAGCACATGTTCAAACTGTAGCACAATAGTTTGTTTTTCAGCATGAAAACAAGATTGAAGATCAATGTTATGAATTGCAGGTGGTAATTCTAGCTGTGATTCCTTGGTTACACGGCCCGATTTCTCTAGTGACAAAGGATTTGGTGAAGACCATTATTTTCGTGCAGTACATTCCGAGAGTTTGGCGAATTTATCCATTATACGAGGAGGTGACAAGAACTTCCGGAATATTCACTGAGACGGCATGGGCTGGGGCTGCTTTCAATCTTCTTCTCTACATGCTTGCCAGTCATGTAAGTTTCTTCTGCTTCACAACAGTTGGAAAATGCATCATATTTTGTGTAGTAACATTGAAAAAAGTCTTTTAGCCATTTTTTTGTGTTATGCTCTTCATTTCACTGCAAAGTGCAGTTTATGATTTCTTGGATCTCATAAATCATTTCTCATGTCCATGAAGTTTTCATTGTAAGATCTTAGAATTGTAGTTGGAGTTCAGGATATGATTTATCATATCATATTATTATAATAAATGCATAAGAAACCACATTTTTATGTCATGTCCAATATTTATCTCATAATTATTAATATTTTCAATTTTACCATACACAAAATTTTGGAAAAAAAATCTCATATAACCTTTCTTGCTGGTCCTCTTTCTCACTCAATATTGTCGTCTGTTTTTCAGACGATCGGAGCCATATGGTACATGATCGCAGTCGAGCGCCAGGACCGGTGCTGGCGCCGGGCGTGCCGCCATCACGGTGGCTGCAACTTAAACGATCTCTACTGTGGCGGAGTAGTTCACGGCAACACTTCATTTTTGAATTCGTCTTGTCCACTGCTCGAGCCGGATAAGATAACCAGCCCAAACGAGTTCGATTTCGGCATCTTCCTCGACGCGCTCCAGTCTCAGGTGGTCGAACACAGAGACTTCCCCAAGAAACTCTTGTACTGCTTTTGGTGGGGTCTGCGCAATTTAAGGTCTGTTAATGGCTCATTGCTTCACTTGATCTGCCGGGTTTTTGTTACCAATGTTTTCCAATGACTTTATGTTAATTCCTCTCTCTCTCTCTCTCTCGGATTGCAGCTCACTGGGTCAGAATCTGAAAACAAGCACTTTTGTGGGGGAGATTCTTTTTGCTATCTTCATCTCCATTGTTGGGCTGGTTTTGTTTTCCCTGCTCATTGGGAACATGCAGGTATGCGTTTGCGCACCACTTGTTCGATATAATGTGCCAATGAAATTTAGAGTAAATGTGCAGTGGATGTGTGTCTGTGGTTTCGTTCGTATATTTTTTTCTGAAATTGTTAAAAAGTGATGCTAGCTAGCTAATATAGTATATACAAGCTTGTAACCTCTAATTTCTTCTTTTTGTTCTGTCGTTTAAGTTACATGTATTTGTTGTTGCAGAAATATTTACAGTCTATCACGGTAAGGGTTGAGGAAATGAGGGTGAAAAGGCGAGATGCTGAGCAATGGATGTCTCACCGTATGCTTCCCGAGGATTTAAGAGCACGCATAAGAAGATACGAGCAGTATAAATGGCAACAAAACAGAGGGGTCGAAGAATATTCTTTGATCCGTAACCTTCCAAAGGACTTGAGGCGGGACATCAAGCGTCACCTCTGCTGGACTTTGCTCACAAGAGTTAGTATACTATACTCTTCGGTCTTCATCACTTCATACTTATCTTTGGAGTTTTTGCAAAAGCTACCCCGATGTTTGGGGTAAAACTTCATGAATGAAGAAGAAAAACATAAAAAAACGAAAATAAAAGGAAAAAACATGAGGTTTAAAACGGTGTCATTTTAAACTAATGTAAGGGAATCGCCAAAAACAGTTTTGGGTAACATTGGTAAAGTATAATACAAAATGAAAAGCTCAAGGGGCCCTTACTACTTTCCAGAAACCTCTGTGGGTTTTCTGTGATTAAGCTAATCTAGGCGATAGTAATTTGAGTTCCCGCCGGAAAAAGTGATTGTCGGCTTTTGGAGCTTGAAAATATGATTGTCAACTGCCAACATTTGCATGTTATACTCTACATTGTCCTTAGATTAGAATTTGAAAGTAGAGATGGCGCTTTTATGAACAACCTAATAATTCACCACAATATTATCTCTTTCAAAACAATCAACTTTAAATTAGCTTCTATATTTAGGTGCCGATGTTTCAAAAAATGAACGAGCAGCTGCTAGACGCCATGTGTCATCACCTGAAGCCGATCCTCTACACAAAGGACAGCTATATTGTCCGCGAAGGGGACCCAGTGGACGAGATGCTCTTCATAATGAGGGGCAAAATATTTACGATGACCACCAATGGTGGCCAAACGGGCTTTTTCAACTCTACTTATCTAATGGCGGGTGACTTTTGTGGTGAGGAACTCCTGACGTGGGCCCTCGACCCAAACTCCTCGACCACCCTTCCTATCTCGACCAGGACTGTGAGGGCTGTCAAGGATGTCGAAGCCTTTTGTTTGATGCCCGAAGACTTGAAAAGTGTCGCATCCCAATTCAGGCGCCTTTTCCAAGGCAAGCAGCTTCAGCACATTTTCAGGCGAGTTTTTTTGTTTTATTCATCTTTTGACAAGATTTTCATGAGTTGGCTGTAGGGGAAACAGAAAAGGAGACC